CTTCGCCTCGTTCAAAAGTCAAAATGACATTCTCACTGTCGAACGTTTTGACCGGATCCACTCTCAGAATACGTCTATCACGATATCGTAAAAGGGCGGCGCAATGAAAACCCAAAAGGAACTTCTTCTTGCCTAGTCCTACATTCTGTGTGGCCGTATTCGACACAACATTTCAGTGCGCATAGAAACCCAGTACAAGTCTTTTTAATCCTTAATTTTAGCGATTTCTTTACTTTTCTCATTTGTTTCGCAATCCCGCACAAAGGATTTCCTATTCCTAGGGATTGTTTCCCCCGATTAAGTCACCACTGCCGTCGCAGTGCGTCTTAAACGTCACCGAAGTATACAGGAAGCAGCGCGGTGGCCGACAAGCAACGCAACCTAAACGACAAAAGCGCTCTAATTTTGCTTGATTTTAGCGAACATCAACTCGCGCCACTCATAAATTGGGCCACGGCCACTTCGAAAGAGCTGGTTAGCGCAGAGAACTGTGGACGAGGAGTTTTGAGGAGTATATGGAGATCACTGTGAAGACGCCAGGAGTTAGACTTGCTTGTGAAAAAGTGGTTGGCCAAGAATTCCTATTCGAAAATCGAAAATCCTTATTCCATCGTCAGACGTTCCCACTCATTCCTAAATTGCTCTTCTTTTCTATTTCATTCTCAATGATCCCGTCCGACGTCGTTACGGGCCGCAAATGCCTCACAGCCTTTATCCATTAGGTTCTGAACTTTGTTTCGTTTTCAAACATTTGTTGAATTCGAGCGTCTGCCAGGAAGACCAGCGTCTAGGAGCTACGTCGGTCGAAAGTTTTCTAAGGTTTTTCGTTAGGCGCCGCTTTTTGACGCAGGCGACGTATACAGACAACACACTTGTCGAAGCAGTTTGAACGATGCCTCATTTGCCATTTTTCATTGTTCATTTGCAAAAAAAAACAAGGGCAAAATAAAATTTCGGGCCAATAAACAGATAATCAGTTATTATTTTAAATAAAAAAAGGTAAGATAGATATGCCGCTGATGCGCGCACTTGTTGTTAAGTGCTAGGTTCGATGGCGTTCTACTAGCATGATTAAAAGTATATATAACCATTTAAGATGTCAATTGTAAAGAAGCAAATATATATCTATATATATGAATTTTCTTGAAATCCTATTTAACCATTTCTGCGATTCTTCTGCGCATGGACTTGACCTAATTAGGACCCAATGCGATCATTTTTGCAGTAAATATAATGATGTGTGTGTATGTAGGTGGCCTTAGGTAACAGCTGAGAATGTCTATGTTTCCTCAGTCCTTCTATGACCACTGTTTGGCATAAATGTTTCGCTACTCCGATGAAAGCTGCTTATTAATAATGCAATCGCTATTAACGTAATTAGAGGATCAAAGTCGCAGTTGTCTAAGTGGCTTATCAGCTTAGAGACTTTTTGAGCATTAAGAGCTTTTTAAGCACTTACTGTGGCATCTCAGGTGATCTCTTAGACAAACATAGATGCGACTATTTATCGATAAAACCGTGCTCCAAAAGCCTAATCATTATATGTAAATAATAGTACAAGGAGAAGCTTTTTCCAGGAGGAAATAGCTATTCATTTTGGTCGTAATAAGGATACTCTCAATGAATTTGGTGCTAAAATTCAAAACTTTTTAAATAAATTAAACTAATAAATGTCAATAGAAATGTATGTGCATATTTACACCGGTCATCACGCTTTATTTCAATACATTACTAGATCTATCAATCAAATTTATTTCATTCATTTTTACCGGTGATAGTCGAAAATTTCATTTACAAGTCAACAACACAATATCCCAATATAAAAAAGAACATATAGAGCTATTTCAATCACATCGCGTGATATGGATCATAGAAATCTTGTTGAGTCTATAAAATTAATAAGAGATTCACCGGATGTCCTAACGATGGCACCAAGGGACAACGAGGGGTATGATATCTATTATAGTTTATCCTGCATCTGAAGCATCTATAAGTATCATCGGGCTCGCAAAAACTTGATTTCTTGTAAAGTTTATTCATGGAATCCATTCACGGCAAAGTAAGTGACGGCGTATGTCTTAAGCAATAAAGCTTAAAGGGTTCGACCCTTTTAACTCCTTGTACCTCACCCCATTCGAATGAAGTTCTCATCAATCTTCGTCGATTTCTGATCCCTTTTCCTAAGATTGGTTTTGAAGGTTCCGTTGCTGGAGATTCAAAGCGACAGACGGCACTGGAAAGTTAGGAGAAACGCAAGGCGATTTCGGGCCACTATATATAGTACCAGTGCCTTTTGAGTAAAAGGGTTTTGGCTCGATTTAATTGTTCGAGCTTTCCACTGTAAGATCTTCCCAAATAACGCGTATCCCGTACACTGCCGTCGAGGCAACCTTAAGCTCGAACAAACTGAGAGCGTTTACGAGGGAAAAGCGGTGAGACAATGATCGCCCAAGGGGTTAACACTGTTTTCCTGCATTTTACGGTGACGTGCGCAGTGGAACTTCTGCCGCTCACGAAGAAAAGCAGCCCTGAAGTACTTAAACCGATTAACATAAGCAAGAGGCGACTTGGCGAAATATAGAGTATCAGTAGCCGTTGTCCTGCTTTTCCCTTCTAAATTTCATGACTTCCGTCTTGGTAAAGGTTAGGGTCAGTCTCAAATGTGTCTCAGCCGCGTAAAGTCGGGCTAGAGTTTTCTACACGAGAAACCTATTCGACCCGTAAATCATCAAGTCTTCTGCAAACAAGATAAGCACGACTAGTTCGATCAGGAAGGCCTTTTAGCAAAATGGAAAGTAACAGTAGGCTTAAATTGTTTTTCCCAAACTAGGCCTGTTATCAGTGTGAAAGACGTGAGTTCGGCATTTCCGTCGTCAGTGGTTATTTTGTTCTCTTGTAGAATCGCAGCGACAAGGTTGAGCACATTCAAAGGGACACTTAGTTGGGCCATCGTAAATCTAACCTCGCTTCTAGGCGTGGAGCCGAGGGCTGCCTAGAAGTCGAGGAACATCGTGTTTAGCGAATCGCGCGGGGTGGCCACTTTTGACGTCGTATATCAGGATCCGCGCCAGTTCTCTCGAGCATTCTCTCTGGAATGCGGGTTGCTTCGTTGGGCAGCGTGTACGGTTTCTAAGTAACGGCCTAGCCTCTCAGTCAGCAAACTGGAGAACAACCTATAATAAACACTTTTATCTGCTATTCTTCGCCATGATGGCGGTTGGGTAGCCCATTTCTTTGGGGGTCACTAATTGGGTAGCATCTATCCATTGGCCTGGCAACGTACTAGAATGTAAACGCTTATTATATATTATAGTGTTGCACGATGCCAGGACAATGGCACTTTTGAGATACTTGTCGGAGATTTTCTTTACACCTTCCTATAGGAAAGGCATCCTGTTGCATAGGCTCCTAAAATTTCATATTAGTTCCCGCACTGCGAAGTCTTATTGAAAGATATCGCTTTGTATTGAGGTTCCCTGTTACGATGTTGCGGTGAAAAAACATACCCAAGTCTCTGTTAATTGGTATGTCTATACTGTCTAAGGTTCCTGGAGAGAAGAGCGCCAGGCTTGCAGCACTTTTACAGGACCACTGTGTAATTACTAGCGTTGGCCTAAAGTCCGGCCTTGCTGCAGACTACTGCATGCAAAGAGTACTGCCTCATAGGTATTCGTAGAACCCAACCTGGCTACGCTCAATTGCACAGACAATTATTGTACAGAATACCACATAAAATATCAGTTTCCTTACCACGAAATTCGCTAACAGCGAAGCACAGGCAAAAATCGCCAAACAACTTTTTTTTCCGTTCCCAAGTACGATCACTACCACTTACTTACGATAAGCTATAGCTTCATATAAGACCAGTCATTGGCGTCAGGTTGCGGGACAAATGTTTTTTGTGTCCTGGCAAAAAGCCTCATTTGGCCCTAAGAGGTGCAATTGCTTAGGCCAGTTTACTTTTAGATCCTACCACAAATACATTTACAGGTCCGAAGAGTTCGCTTTTCCCGGGAAAGAAATATATTCGAAGGAATATGGGTCAAACCCAGAACGGCTTGGGTGGTGATTCCATGCAGTCAATAGCAGAAATATACGCAAAAAAAGGCAACGGAGTAGTTTTTGTTGGACCATAAAGAGACTCCTTTATGTAACACGCCGTATTCATGTGATCCTTGCTGTCGCCGAAATACTAACAACACACTTGCAGGTCTATCGTATACTCTATATGTCTTCGCCTCTTTATAGCATGGCTCGGTCTGATAAATCTGTGCCTAAGGCCGGCCCTAATATTGCTTGTACGTGTTTTTATGCTCGAGTCGACTTCGTCGTTTACTGGTCACTTATAAAGTTGTTGAGGACGGGCTGAAAACAATGAGAAACAGAAAACCAACACGTGAAACGAAAGCTGTACGTGTGTATATGCGTGTCTGTGTGAATGTATGCCGCTTCAGTAAGCTAATTGTACCTCGGTAGGAAGACATCGACATGCGCGGATGTCTCTGTTGTCTACGGCAAGCGAATGAAATCATCTACAAACTTCATTGGCACGTAATAGTAAATCCGTCTACCAAACTTATCAAATAATTACAGTGCACTATTTGTCTTTTCTTATTGTTTGATGGGAGCCCGATTCGTTTAAATCGTTTGGCGGATGACGCAAAACTTTGGGGGCCTTCTTTGACCAAGCCGCTTCAGAGAAACTAGGAACACCTGTTTGAACTAACAGAACTCTGACCAAAAATAAATTTAGTAAGCATCTAGGACCTTCATAAGAAGCCGTTAGAAGGGCGCCATCTGGATGTGAGCATTGTACACCTAGACTCACTAGGCCTATACGTACTGGACGCTTTTTATATTTCTTTAAAACAATGAGCAATAATCGAAATATATTCTGTATTAGGTTATCTAGACTATGTCATTACCTGCGCTTATTCTCGTACGATAATACGTTGCCCAACATAAACATATTATTTCTCGTTTTTTTGTCTATTTGACAGGCGTTATTGCTCCAACACCGTTTTGTCGGAGCGTCCTCCTTCTCCTGGTACTCCCGCCGCTCCTGAGTGAGCCCCCGTGGCATTTAACCTGGCCATCAGATGCTCTAACATTCCTGCCTGCTTGCACTCAGCCTGCGACGACAACGAAAGCAGCAATTCGCTATGCGTCGTTACGGGCCAGCACGTACCGACCAGTGTTTGTGGGCGCGTCACACTCGGGGGAAGACGATTTCTCGTTCGCCCCACCCCCGCAGTCGGTATCGGTACAGGCGGGTCACGGAACGCTTTTGCAATGTGGGGTCACGGATAACACGTCGATTGAAATTCATTGGACACGTGGTGGTGAACCTGTTGTTGAGAGCGTCCGCCGACGAATGGAAGGGTATGTATCGAAAAGAGTTTTGGCTTTGTTTCTTACTTAATTTACATAATGTCATTAATCGGGACCGAAAAATGAACGCATAAAAAAGAAAAAATATATAAAACGGATATTGATAATCCAGTCTATAGCATATCCTGTTTTTGTGTAGAGACAATTAAACGGAGCTCATTATATGCTTAGCAATATTTCACCTGTCAATATATCTGGAGTGTATAAATGTCATGTTTGTTAAAAAGCACATTTTTTGAATGGGTGACAGGATATAACAGGGTAGAATATAAATGCTGCATGTGTAAAATAAGTTGTGGCAAACGTCGCCGTCCATTCAAATAAGGCAAAACAACGTGACCTTAATTGATTCAAAGTACTTTGTAGCTTATAGCCGGAACCGAGGGTTTTTATACGAAATGATAGATAGTTTAAGCTGTGTTATGCAATGGCTTATCTTCAGCACGAACCTGCGCTTTGTGCGTGTCGAGCCAGAGTTTGATACGGGTGAGTTCCAGTGCATCGCCACGAACACGTCTTCGGGATTTACAATATCATCCGATCCCGTCTCCATAAACATTTTATGTGAGTAAGATTGTTTCAACATATTCTCAGTTAGAGATTCAACTATACAAATCGTAGTTGAGTGAGCTCAGGCCTGTTTTACTTCTACCCCACCTATTTGGCGACGCATGGCCATATTTAAAGTCTATTTATCTCTTAGATTTTCCTAAATGTATATACATTTTATTCCACACAAGCAAGGTAAAGATTAGGTTATGCTTAAAAGTACGCATCCATGGTGCGCTTTATGCCAAATTCATTGCCGTCCAGCGTTCTTATATCGATTCGTATCGTTTTATGTAGACGCCAAAAATTTTTAAATATGTTACTCTATATATATAATATGTCAAAATGCTATTTTGGTTTTTCCAACAGCCCAGCACAATGAGCTAGACAGTCGTTGCTCCAGCCGTTGTTCGCATGGTGATAGTCTGCCCACTGTAGGTAGTATCGTACAACAACCCTACCTAATTCCGTTCTCTTATAGACCTGTTGGTTATTATTGCTGGCTTTGATCAACCATAGCATACCGTGCACCGGCCTCAATCGGCTTTGTAAGTTTTTTCTTATATATATATTTTTTTTGGCTATTCCATTGGCGTCTTCACCCTTACTGCATGACGCGTGATCGCTACGAAGCTATCTAACATCAACAGAGATATACCATAATTTGATAAAAGATAAATAAATGCTATTATTATTTTTAAGTTATATCGAATGTACCGGATTGTTGTTCCTCGAATGGGTACGGTTCAAGCACAGAAGCACAACGTATCAAATGCTTCATCATAAAAATTCGTTTTAACCTAGGAAACATCAAATACGTAAATCAACGTTCTCCTTATAATACTGCTGCCAGATCATCCCTTAAAGCACGTACACAGTTAGCACTCGCATCTTCCTTTAGCGGGGGATGCCAATAGCTAAAGGGTCTTAGCCTGCGTGAAACGAGAAATAGGGCAATTTTGTTCCGCTATTGATCTACGGGTGTACCTGTATGGCATAGCATATTCGCTTCCTTCCTTCAGGCCGTAACGGCGCTTCGAGGTACTCTATTCAACCAATGCTTGGCGTCCTTTTAACAGTAGTTACAGAAGATGTGTGCTCTGTACAAGAGAAGAATTCGCTCATCACTACCGAGATACCAAGGAAGTTTGGAAGATCTTGTGCGTCACAGCTCGAAGACTGTTGTGGCTAGATGGCATACAAGCAACTCAAACGTTCGTCGTGTGACAGCGTTACTTAGCTCTTTTTCGTCCAGGCTTCAACCGGCCAAGACAATGGTCCGACTTGATCTTTCAGTGAGGCCTGGACTGCGAGCGACTTGCTGCGTTCGCGCGTGCCAAGCATACGAGTCCACAGCAATTTCCATAGCGAGCCGTTGCTGCCCATGAGGACGGAGAATCGTCGTGACTCGTGTAGAAATGCGGGGCATTTGACTGAGGCAGACAGAGATTCCGAGACGAAAGGGACCGGCACAGAGGATGTCAGATCGAGAGACATTACTAAAAAAGCACACCAAGAATGCAGTACGGTACGGGAAAATAACGTGATATGATAATAATCACGGGCAACATCACTAGGAATGTAGCTATTATCTAATCTATATGTATTATCGCTGATGGTATCAATCTAACCCTCACCAGGGGTTGTTTTGATTCACGGCGTCCACCTAATGTCGCCACCAAAAGAGCGATACGCTCTAAACAGGTTTATCTGGAATCGGTTAATGGCTTGACCAACGTGTCGACTTGACTTCCAAGTTGTCAAATAAGGCGATAATGCTGACTCAAAATGTCGTTAGCGATCGACCAATACCTGACCCAAACCGGGAAAGAAAAATCAAAAAGCCCAGCTCAACCCTTCTTTCCATAGCATCTTATTTCCGTAAAATATGATTACTCACTAAGTATTACTCGATCCTTTGTAAAAACTGGCTATGACTTACCTTTCTAGTTACAAAAACGTGCTGGATGACGCACTGTAATATTATACAGCCAAATGCCATCAATTCAGGTCATCTATATCGCCATACGACAAAAATACGTTACATCCTACCTATAGCACCTAACCGAACCTATAACTATAGCTATTTATTCTTTTCACCTAAACCAATGTTTAATTTCCATCATTTTCGGGACACTGCCAAGCTAATCTGCATATCTGCTTGAAGTTGCTTCAAGCGATTTGTTCCAATGCAAAGGCTGAAAAAATGTCCCCTTATTGTTTTTGGCCGACCCTCGGTAAACATCGTTCTAACAAATTAGCCAATCTATGCAATACGATTAAGATGATCCACTTCCGGAGACCGGCTAATGGATGGTTACGGATGTTTGATTTAAAAATAATTCTTTCGTCAAACATATATTTATGACACCTACGAAACTTGTTGGATCATTTTTACTGTCTCATATAAAGAGACGGTTACCATTTGATGCTGTAAGTGTAAGCATGGGCGGATAGCAATGAAAAATTGCAGCGACCTATCTGAGCTAAGGTGTCATTCTTCGCTCCCGGATGAATTTGGAAATGATTAACGATGTCCGGTGAAGTTTGTCGTTGACCGTTTACAAGCTAACTTGTACTTACTGCAATCGAACATGATAGAAACTATACTCTCTTGTAGATAGCAATGTTTTTTTGCGTTGTTTTAGCTTTTTTTCAACTCAGTCACTTCTTCAGATCCATTAGTATAGACCCTTCAGTTAGCTGCTCTGTTAACGTGCTCGGCATTGGGACTGAAACCCGGTTCCGTAATGTTGTCGTTTTGTGATCGGTGGTTGTGAACTAGGCTGGCCGGCCTAGTCTGAAGCTCAATCGAGCACCACGTTTCCCGCCCCCCTCTAATATGGATGTCACTGAATGAACTCGTTCCCTGCTTTGATATTGCTGTTCCTAAGGGGGCAGCAGAACGACGCCGTAGGCGGTACAGGATGTCCATCAAACCGTTGAGCATAGTTCCGGCTCTCCGAAGTGTGGTTAAAGAAAATGGATAAGGCCATCGTTTTGCATAGGCAACGAAAGAACACGTGACTCAGAGATGAGGTGTGAAAATTTGTTCTATTGCTTATTCTTCGGGCACTTTTATCGAAAACCTGTGGCATATGTGTAGGGTACTAGCACATAAACTTGAAATCACCGACAAGTTTAGTCTTTTGACGCTTCACGACATTTCACGATAGTTAATATAGCGTAGACTGGATATTTAATTTAACACATCATAAAACTTATGTGGGTTAAAGTTTCAATTAGCGATATTTATTGATTCCAAATTAAGCTTCTTAACTATTTTTGGGTAATGCTTAACTTATGAATGCTTAGCTAAAAATATTTACAAGCTGTAATTGACCTAGGCAGCAGTGTCTTGTCTACACCAGTTTCCACTTTTCGCTTATGGGCTCACAAAAGGGCTCGGCCATATATTCCGATCCAATCGCAAGCTTTCGAACTAGGCTTTTGAAATCGTTCACATCTGATTGTACTGTGACCAAAATAGAGCTATGTTTGGGCGAGGTAGAGTTTGAATGTGTGATCATTACAGCTTTATGATGGGATATCAAAGATATGAATCTGCAATCCTTATCCTTATTCGGTAAATTTCTTCCCCTCGCGAATCATCAGACCATCGACGCGATCGGCCACTCGAACCTCAATAGAAACTTTTCCAGCTCGCTTCACTGATAGAGGAATGAGACAAGACATATACCCTTCCCAAGTATACGGACCATAGTTAGTGACTTGGCTGGTAAAGGACTTATGCGGACTTGTCTGGGGAAGCGGTCGAACGGGCGAGTAGGAGACAGCGTGATGGCTGTCGTAGCGCCGGTACTATTGAACAGTTTGTGTAGCAGCTGTGTGAACCACAGAAGCTCGGTTTAACCTCGGTTTTCCTTCGTTTGCCCTGTCTCTTCCACCATGTAGTTCACCATTTATTGGGCAGGCGACGGCCATACACCTCCGTGTGAAAGCAGGCCTTGGGACGGCGCAAGCAAACGAGTCGGGAGGGCGCAATTCGGGTAACCGCGCACCCGATCAGCCGACCGATCTGGTCTCGGATGAGATCAGATCCCTTTTGCCATCCGAAATCGATGCGGCACCGTTTAATTTGTGTGCCTCCTTCGATCAGGGGACCTGCCAGAACCACCGCCTTCTCTTTCAGGGCCTTTTCGGTGGTCTGCTCAGAAGAAGCAGGAGACGGGGAGTGGCTAAAAGCTGCTCGTTTGCTCCTCCTTAGACTAACGGGCGCTTGCTTGGCCTAACTTCTACTGACCACTACCACCCCACCGAAGAACGCCGACAGCAATGAGAATAGCAAGAAACCTTCCTGCGTGTCTGGGCGTGGAAAGGCTGAGCAAATCGGCTAGCTGCCGCCTTTAAGCTATTGTTACGGTGTTTTGAAATAGCAAGGGCACGCCTTACTGAGGCGAGGCAGACTAGAGCTGACGCTAGCGTGCTCTGAAAAAAAAACAGACTTCTTTTCACTGAGGAAAGAAGAGATATTGTCTTTTGTACACAACACCCTTCTTATGAAGATAGGCGCCTAAAACTGTACAATTTTCATAACAATCATCGCAAAATGGGCGGCTTCTTGATAATATGGAAAAAAAACCTGTGAAAAACGGATCGAATTAAACAAGACTATCTAAAATTAGGAGATTATCCCATCGCATGTCTGTAAGGATAAGTCTGAATGTCCGCTTTAAACTAAAACTCCACAGACAATGCAAGTAAAAAAAACATAAGCAAACTTCTAAACCACGTTTTCGTCCAAGAAATTGCTTATAAAATAAATAAACAAATAAAATAGTACATTTTATGCCTCTCAGTCGCGACAAAATGACCAATGATTTTATACTTACCACATGTTTTGGCCTGCTAGCAGGGTCTTGTCTCTAAAGGAACTCAACATCGACGCGTGACGAAATTCACAGTATTATTTTCCTTAAATGTCTTAGTTGTCAGACATTCGTTAGTATAAGTTACCAATAATTTTTAATTTTAAATTCGAAATGTTTATGCTC